GGGGATTGGGTTGTAAGAGTTTTACGGCGCTTGCAACACTTATAGGTTATATAAGCGACGAAGTTTAAAGGTATTACTGGGCAGTAACATGAATAAAAGGAGGAGGAGGACACAAAAGAACAATTGATGTTTGATAGGAAAGAGGGAGCAAACCTCATCAATGCACCCGCCAACCACAAACGGGGATTGTTTGGGGCAGGTTAAAGGTGGGGTATAGTGGTTTGGGGACGGGGATGGGGTGGGGTGGGCGTTATACTTTGTTGTTCACCTGTTGTCTTTGTCACATGAATTAGAGATTCCTCTTCGTCTTTTCTTCTTTTTTGTTTCTGTCACATGTCTGTGCATGTTATACTGACTTTTATTGTGCCGCCAAAAACTCGTGGGGCAACTTAGTGTCAAATATCTCCCTAACTATCGAACGTAAACTCTCCAGCTTTTGCACAGTGAATTGTATCAATTTGTGTTAACAGATCAATATTTTTGTAAAGACCTGCTTGCTCTATTCCAAGAAATGCCTTAATAAATACTAATAAAAAAATCCTAGTGGGTGGTTTCAACGGGTTTTAAAAGGTTTACAGCTGGGACGATATCGCTTTTAAAAGCAAGCCTGTCATTTTTTTTTGAAATCGCGAGATTATCTTTGTTGAACGCATGTTTTGAGAACCTCTAGTGCCAAAAAAGTGTTCACTATAAAATCAATTTCTTGTAACTAGTGTTACCACCAAAAAGTATCATTGTTGAGTGTGACGTAACCCATATTTGTGCGTATACAAAATGTGTGTGAAGAGCGGGAAGTGCTGTGAACAATTCCATTTTCCACGTGAGGGAGATTTGTCGCATTTTATATAAATTTACGACGAAAAGTTTTTTAATCTAGCCTCAACTGTTGTGGGTTAAGACAAATTAATACAAACTGCTGGGCAAAGTACAGGTGACAGTGATTCAACCGTTAAAAAGATATTTGAGGATAAGTTGCGCCACGAATTTTTGACCGCACGAAAGTATCCTTCCACCTTTTGTGCCTGCGATGCAACGGCTAGCTCTAGGCGCTTCGCTGTCGCACGCAGGAGACAGGATTTCAATTTCCAAGTGGGGAAACATTAATTTTATCGAGTAGATATCTAGGCCTTCGTCGATTTTTCTGCTGGGATGTTGTATCCAGTTGTATCCCTCTCAAGCGTGGCTGGCCGTGACAGGCAGGGTCGTAAAGCCACCTCCTGAGCGATCTCAATCATTTCCATGGAGGCGTATGAACACCAACATTTTAATTGAAAAGCAACTTTCTCAAGATAATAATTTAAAAAAAAAGGAATAGATCTGTCTTTGGGCTGAGAAGAAATAATTTCAAGAAAGAAGAAGAAAAACTCGACTTGACCTAGACTCGGACCTTTTAGTTGGTACATTCAGTCGTGTCCGTCATCATCTGTCTGTCTGTCTGTCTGTCTGTCTGTCTGTCTGTCGTCTGTCTGTCTGTCTGTCTGTCTGTCTGTCTGTCTG